CGTTATGGTTCCAGAAGAAGGAACTTCCAAGAAGTGCATATTCTTGTATTTGGATTGAAAATCCAACGATCCGTCTCAAGATCCTCTTCCGCGTCGCGCAGCCGAGCCCGTACGAGGGCGATCTCGATGTATCGATAGCTGGCGAGCTGGCCGGCGAGGCTCAGCTCGGAGCTTTTTGTATTGTAGGCGCGGAGATCGGTGAGCTCGGCCGCGCGACGGGTGATCTTGTTATTTGCTGAAAGGGGCAATGCTAAAAGATCGGGAAATCAGCAGACTTCTCGGGGCGCGACGCGTCTCGGGAGTAACCTTTCAGGAGAAGAATACCACTCTAGAGACGCGGGAAGGGAATGTTGTGAAATGGAGAGGGTGTCGATTGCACTTACGTATTTGTGATCGCCATCAAGGCCTGCGAGCGCGCAGATTACTGACTTTTCGGTCTCGATCTGGTAGCAGATACTGTGATAGACGCCGTTTCCAGGACATCTGTTGCCCATCGGAAAGGTATCTGCGTCGCTCAGTTGATTCTGAAGAACGCTGGTGTTTGCCATCTTGAATGGTTGTTGCGAGGTTCGTTGTTGCTGCAAGTCGAAAAGTGGAAGTCGACAGGTGGAAGTCGAAAAGTGAAGGCCTAAAGAGCAGGAAATATTTGTGGGCCTGTTTTCTCGCTTAAGGATTCGGCGCTAAAAATCAACAAAGAAACCAGGTCCTCAAAGCTTCGGTCTTTAGCGTAGCTAACGGACTACAGCGAGCTAGAAAAGGATGATGAGTATAATAGTGAATAGCAAAATTCAAGACTTTAAAGTGATAAAGGGATCCAGAAAGCCGGTCCAACTGTACGCACTGTAACCTAGGATTCTTGGAAACAATTGAGTTTTCTTTACTTGTTTATCAATCTCAATGAGCGCCTGAGGTCCACACCCCACTCATAATCCTGGAGCGGGAATATATCGGATGGAGTACTAAGGAGGAGGGAATTGTCCTTTCTAACAGTACCAGTTCCATACCTTATAAAAGGTTCTAGGGCGGTACGCGCTTGCTACGAGTCTACGACATACAACCGGGAGACGCAAATCAATCATCAAACAATTATATAGCAGCAAAGGCTTTTGTAGTATTCACTGCCTGAACTAGAGTAGTACATATTTGCTATCTTGTTTCAATTAGGAAATCGTAGGCTCTCCAAATGACGGCATGTAATCCTTCCTAATTGGTGAGCAGCGATCTCCGAGATTCAACCGAAAACTTTCACGCGCTAACGATCAAGAGCCTTATTCGATTATTCCACTATCTCGAAACCAATCTCCATCACAACCACCGACAACCTTTACGATATTGAGCAGGTCAAAGATGGCTACGAAACTCTGCTGGGACTTCAGCTGTGGTCACCAAGCATACCAGATAAAAGACCGAGAAGGGAATTTTACCCTTGTGCTTCCAAAATTGGCAGCTCGCATTACAACACAAGTTCCCGAAGGGTGTCCGGAGTGTCGGGAAGCTCAGCGTGTTACAGAAGCTGCTAAAGATGCTACGGAGCAGAAGGACCAGCAAGCTCTTGCCGTATACAAAGCCCAATCAGCATTATTTGAGCAACAAATCGTTGACGCCAAAGATAACCCAGAGTAAGTAGACCCATTTGAATTCCACATACGCGCATCCGCGAGGCTGACATTGAACAAGCCTGCGAGCTGACATCGAGAAACTACTCGTAAACTGCGAAGTCATGCGGTGCAAGAAAATAATGCAGATCGAGATCAAAGCTGCCATAGGTGCTATTGCCACTGGGCCTTCTCTCAACACTACCTTAGCCTTCAAGATCGACACGGCGCTCGAGAAGCTGAATTGCCTCAAAAAAGCAGAGGGCATCACCAATGAGCGGCTGCAAAAGCTAGCTGCTCATGAGAAGGGACATGTTAATGGTCTGCTCATCTCATCTCTGCTACAATCAAACACCCGCGACACGAGTTGGAGCGCGATACTTCAGGAGATGGAGCAGGTCAAGAAAAATTATGAGGAGCGGGTGAAGGGCGAGTTTTGGGACTTGAAGGAGGTGTTCGAGGAGACTTGGGCGAGAGCTGTTAATCTGATGGGCGGCGAAGAGGCGAGCGGGTAATAAGGCTCTCTATCTCGAAATGTAAACCCAGGCCTACAAAAATGGGCCCCGACGAAAGACTCACTGACAAGAAACTATACCTGATGCAGACCAGTGTTCGATCCCAGTAGTCCCGACAGGACCATTATCCAAGTCACTATTGGGTACAGTTATGAAGCCCGTAAAGGCCATGACCTATTGAAAGAACGAAAGTTCAGAAACACGCGTTTCAAATCACAGAAAACTTTTGCAGTGATGATTTGGGCTCGGAGAAAGGGCAGACAAAAAATAATACATTGTTGAAAACTTGCACGCGAATTGGGTATCTAAAAGATCGTAGCATACGCCAGCGATGCGAGACCGGGATGAGTAACGTAGAAAATACCTCCACTAGGCAACTGTCCGATTGTAAAGACCCACCGTGGTGTTATCGATCGCTAAGTACCGTAAGCATCCATCTACTTGATTCAGTCCTCGCTTCGACCATCCAATAAAGGGTCGGCCTCTCCATCTTCCAAGCTCTTTCCCGGCTTTCGGTACAGAAAATAATGCTGTATGATGAATATGATATCGAAGAACACACTGATGTTTCCGAGTGCCAGCTTTACTGGATTACCCGTTATTCCAGACCAGTCGCCCTGTAGGTAGCTGTCGATGCCTAGTTGCAGAATCGATAGAATGCCTCCAGCAAAATCGAGTAGGATTTGTGCAATGGACCAGCCCTTTGTGCTCTTGTTATTCCTATTCGTGAGGACCTGGGGCATGTATTTGACGAGGGTGATGACGAGTTTGACGTAGGAGACGGCATAGATCTGTATCGGAGCGCGTTAGATGGATTCCGGATAGCAGAAGGGAGGCAAACTGACCACATCAATCCACGCCCATCCCTTAATCACATCCTCTTCATGTCTTGAGCCAACGAGACATGCCACTATTGCAACGCCGGTCAAGCTCCCAAAGCATATGCCCAGAATCGGCTTACTCGGTCTCGAGCCCGGTCGTCTCTTTGCCCGCTTGTCAAATCCCCAAAGTCCGGGAACGAATTGTGATAGTGTAATGGTGCTCAAGACTACGGCATGCGCTGCGAACGTCAAATCATTGAACTGAACCGTCGGTGTCAGCCCGTGATTTCGCAGAGCATATTCTTGCCGAATCCTCGGCGAATACAGGAATGCGGCGTTGGATACGAGGTAGGCAATGAAGCCCAGCACGTTGATGGTGGGAAAGTCGACCGTTGTGCCTGTCGTGGAACGTCGGCGGAAGTTGAGGATAGGCTGAGGGTAGAAGGAGAGCGACCAGCAGAGCGTATAAATCCAGCCAAATAGGTAGGAGACGATGGAAAGGAATGAGGCTGCCATTTTTTTTCTTCTTTTTTTTCGCAGCGTGGGTGCTACTGATTCATGGAGATTTGGGGTTGAATCTCGACGGTCAACGGCGAGACGTTGTAAATAGCTAACACGAACGGCATCTGGCATCTGTTACCTACCTATCTGGCATCTGGTACCGGTATCTGGACGAGGTACGTGCGAGCGTGGGGGTGGGGGTGTTGTCTCAGTCTGAACTCTGGTGCGAACGGAGTTCACGTGGCCAGAGCTGGCAAATGACGCAATATAGGATGGTTTATCGAGATCCCCGCAGTCCTTATCGCTAATCTTGGCATAGAAGACAACGACCTACCTACCAGTCTGTGTCCATCAGTCCGAGTTTCTACAACGCCATCCATCCATACATTCAATTTACTATATCAGATATACCGAACTACATTGTCTTTTGTTAGCATATAATATGTCTCTCATCTCCTTCACAGGTCTCCCAGGAGAAATTCGCAATCAAATATACCAGCTTCTACTCCTGGTCCCTTCTCCGTCCACCCCTCGTCTCCTTGGTGATCCACCGATATATCCTCAAATCCTGGCTGTTTGCCGTCAAGTCCATGATGAAGCCAGGCCGATTCTGTACGGGTGCAACACCTTTCTTGCCCACCCAAATCTCCTCGCTAGTATGCCCCGACTTCGACTCTACTACGACACCATCTCAAAAGCTAGTCTGATATCCTTGATACGACGATTCCACATCCGCGTGCGCCTCGATTGCGATCCCAACTTCTCAGCCAAGAAGGCGACCGAATCTTTTACTGGCATGGAAGAGTTGACCATCGAAGTCTTCCAGGCGCAGTTTGGGGGTTCAGATTACGAAGTGCTGACGCTGTTCGAGGATATAAGAGGCGTTAAGCGGGCGAGGGTATATGGGAGTGTAAGAGCATTTCCAGAGTATGTGGGATGGCTTCAAAATTCGATGATGACCCCGCAGTGGCAGCCCGTTGAAAGATTCGTCAGCGAGAGAGTTGATCTTCCGGTGAGACCTTCTGATGTGTGGATTGTCAGGGAGAACGAGATCTGATCTACATATGTGGCCTACTATGGGACGCAGCATAGTGGCAGGTAAATTCAAAACAGATGCGTCGCAGCAACTGCTTGGCAAATTCAGTCCCATCAAACACCTTGCCCTCAATCATCTGCTAGAGCTCAGATGACCGAGGTGGCTTGACCATTGATCAGTCCTTAGACTCCCACAAGTCTTTGGCCCAACAAGGCGAGGAGATCGATTCATCGCTGCCTGGGCGATAGAATAGTTGTTATATGCGACAACGGCAGTGAGTTGTTATTTGTTTTCAATTTCTTTCAAAGGTATATCCAAAATTCATATACTTGTGAATATACGCTGAGCAAAATCAAAGTCCTGGTGAAGTCGATCAATAACTAGTAGGTATATAATGAGAGCCCCTCAAACTCTCTCCAGAAACTTCATCTCTCGACGACACCACAAAGTAACAAGTGGTCGCAACTCCAACGACTTTTGGTGAACGTCATTACTCCGTCCTTCAGCCAGCGAGATATTTCTGATATAACCTTGATCACTTTTTCAACAGCATTAAAATTTTCATTAAGCTGTACATGTTTCGAGGTATATATAACCTTCCACATCCTTGTTTCCGTTCCCAATGCTGAGTCTCTCAGTCTGAATCATGAATTCACAAGATCAGACCTCAGCAGACCTCCTTGGCGGTCTTTCAGTAACACCACTATCTTCCAACGGCGTATCTGCACAGCCAGAAACGTTTTCAGCATCTCATATCGAGTCTGCGATTCAGTTTCTTCCAGTGTTGGCACAGACATCACAGTCGACGCCAGTCTTCCCTCGGGTGATAGCTAGACATTCTCAGCAACACCCCTTGTAAATGCGTCAAATAATAATGAGTCAAACGATGTATCTCTCATCTCTGACACACACCCGGCGAATACTTTGATAGTCTCTGATGAAACTAACGGCGAATCCATCGTCGGTGATTTTGACTTGGCTATATTGATCCGCGAGATTCAGAATAACGTGCGATACAGCCAATGCCACAGCCAAAATCCTATCAACGTGAAGATTATTCCCATTCAACCGAAGCATAATAAGGCTTGCTTCACTGGGATTTCTCTTAAGCTACGCCACATGATATATGAACTCTTGTCAATCCTCTGCTCGGTCGAAGTGCATCACTGTGGAGAATATAGACGGGGCAAGGGCCCTGTACGGACTCTCACCTGCTCTACTCAAGAGTCAATAAGCAAATCAACAAGTAAGGCTCTGTATGCCTGTACGAAATGAACACGTTCTATATGACTTGCCTCTCAAGCCTAGAGAGAAACCCGTGGAAGTTCGATAAGTTCCTCGCCCAATAACTAGACACCAAGCTTTTTGTAAGAAGGGTTTTCCGTCCATATGCGGCAATCCAGGGCTCGCCAAGGTTCGCCGATGGACTGTGGTATTGATTCTGAGAGGCACAGAAGCAAGAAAGTCAAGAGATAAGATCAGGACACCGAGGGCACGATTAATGGGGACGACGAAGCCTCCGACGAAGAAGGTAGAGATGATACAGTAGACGGGGACCAAAGTACTCCGCACTATGTGCTAGATGTGTCCGGTCGTGGGCACCGACGCAGCATCTAACGTTCATGGCACTCTTCAAGCATGTCTTCGTCAATGAGCTCCTTGCACCAGCTTCAGGGTCTTTTATTACGTATTGCAATTCGTTGTTCCGCTCCATTTTCATCCGTTCAGATTCCGAGTATCCGCCAGGATAAATTTTGGACAGATAGATACGTCGTTCCTTTTTCTTCTGGGATGTGCGTCACTCTGCTCTACTCATCTTGCAAATACGTCTGCCTCATGGGCACGAGCTACTGACATAACGTTATTTTCTCCTCACAGCACACTTTTCGATGCGGTTCATATATCCTAGACCAGAATTCTATCAAACTAAAATTCTATGGGCCGGGGCCACTTGGATGATGGATAGAATCTGAATTCATATCCTTAGAGACCTCGGGGGCCTTATGGTCAGTGGCCACGGTTTTTTTTTTTTTTTTTTTTTTTGGAACACGAAAATTGATTTTATTTTTTCACAATTTCTTTACTAAGAAAGAAGACGAAGAAGAGAAATAGAAACTACCGTAACTATAGGAAATGTCTTAAAAGAAGGCGTGCCAAGACGGGAACTAGTGATCACGAGGTGCACATGTAACCTACTACACGTGTCTAAGGCCTCGCGAGGTCCCGTTACCGAGTAGTGGTCCCTGCTGCCGTAGCAATTAGAAGCCCTTGAGCCATATAGCGGCCCTTATTGTTGAGCCCTATGTACGACTTTGAGCAACTAGCGCCCTCGCTTAGCCCAGCCGCCGTTGTTGTTGTTGTTGTTGTTGTTGTATTTGTTTACGTCGGGCGGGTAGCAGGCGAAGCCTGCCGCACTGGGACTTCCCATGGAGTACGGCGACATGCTAAGCTAGCCTAGCCGCCGTCTCTCCTCGAAGAGCTAGTTCCGCAGCTATTGACTGACTAGGTACTCACCACAGAGGCCTGGCTCTACGATTTCTTCATCTAAATTCATTGTTTAAATGAATTGTGTTGTACTTTGTATGGCGATATGTTAATAGTCATTCAATTTTCAATTCTCTGTATTGCGCCTTCCAACGTCGCGCCAGCTAGTCCTCTGTGAATCATCAATTGAACAGGCGTGCCGCTTACGGGCTAGGTCATGTGTAGAGCGTTTCAGCAGTCTTTGGGGTATTTAATGGCCGGGGTTTTTGAGGATTCATACTTGGTTGACAACCTCATGTGACAATTTTTCTCCTTCTCATACCTACGACTTCGATATCAATCTACCCTGTCTCGTACATCGATACATCATTACCTTGAGGTTTGAATACAGAGGATTATTGCTTCCGTTGTAAGTTCACGCGATCCTTGGGCTCTTTGGGATTTAAGCGTGCTGATTTGTGCGATTCTAGATGGACGGCCGTGGTAGAGACATGGAAAAGCAGCCCCTCCACGACAAACACTCTCTCGCAAAAGACATGACCAATCACATATCTTCTATTCTCTTCGACGACAAATCTTCTGAAGACTCCGACGCACGCTCAGTCATACATTCGGTCGTTGAAGAAGCCGCTTTGGAAGAGCCAGGCTCAACTGAACAGTCAACCAAAGATCTCTTACCAAGAGATACCCACGCAGCGGCTGGTGATGATATTCCCAATGATCCGAATCAAGAAGAAGGGAATATGGAGCTACAGGCGAAGATCGCACCGGCGATTGGTGAAGACCTTTACGAATATAGAGTCGCTAACGAAGACTTGTCCAGCATAGACCTCGCAAACGGAATGACCGATGAGTCTCTGAGCGATACTAATGAGTTTGATGGCCAGTTTGAAGACTCGCTGCGCGAGATTGAGCGGGTCACGAAGCTGTCAAACGACCTAGCTCAGCTCATCCGACTTGCTGGTCCGTTCAATATCGAGCTTTCTCCTCCACCAGTCCCCCAGGTCAACCCGGAAGCTTGTTTGGATGGGGCTCCTCCCGATGTTCGGATGCTAATCTACAGATACTTGCTGGTCAACCCAGATCTCGGCGAAGTCACATCTATCAGCAAACACGAACAGTACGGTGCCACGGCTTCCTATGGCCTGTCTCCCGCAATCCTTGTGGTCAATAAGAAGATCCATGGTGAAGCCATGTCCATACTTTATGGGCTCAACACCTTCGTCATGGCTTGCTCTCCATGTTCTGAGCCTTCTGGCTCACCACCAGCTATATTGTCGCCCCTGACTCGCTTTATTTCAGGGCCATATGGTAGCTCTTCTTCAATCTATGGTGAAGCATCCATTTCCCATGTCAAGAAATGGAAGGTCATTATTAGTGTCGATGTCAGAGGCTTCTCGGCCAAGGAGCTGGTGCGACCATCTTGGAGTTTCTGGGAAGCCTGTCGAGCACTTAGTCGCGGAAGTCCAAGGTTGGTTGAGATTGCTCTAATCCCAAAGGGGGTTGAGTTGAACGTCTTCGAATCGGACTACCAGAGCCTGGAGATTGCTCTTCAGCCGCTCAAAATCTTGCGCGGCATTGAAAACTTTGTTCTCAGAGACACGACTCCCTTCGAGATTCCCGACTTCGTGGACGAGGATGAGAATGCTCTCGAGTTTATCTCCCAGCTCCAAGACGAGACGGTTCTCGAAGTAGACTTGTACAATTCGGCGACCAGCAACAACCCGGTAGAGCGCGGATTCGAGATGTTCAACGAGCTCTTGATTTATGCTCAAGCTTTCGAGAGATCTCCCATGTTCCGCCAAGCAATGTCCCCCATCTGTGATGAGAGATATGGCGATGTTCCCGAGCCAGCTTTGTCAGGAGACGACCTACACCTTTATCACCAGCCCAGTAACCCATTCCAAATCGACGATCTCGTGCACCCCATCGAGGCGGCTCTTAGGCGCGCAAAGGCCCTCGTCAGAAACGAGGAGGACATTCCGGCTTTCAAAAACGAGCGAGATTTTATTCTGCAGTACCTCGAGCGCCAGTTCCGAAACATCTCCGCGGCTCACGACGGCATGCTTGAATTTGTCAAGGACGAGAAGGTCGACGATGGCTTCTTCGATTGTGCAGGTGATCCCGATCAAGGAGACACATGGCCTCAATACTACACGGCAATGGTCCTCTTGGAAGATTACGAGGCCTCCTTCCAGCGGGAATCACCACTCCACATCCGTGCTAGTATGCACGAGCACAAGAAGTACTACGAGAGACTGTATGAAGATTTCGGTGTTGGCAAAATCCAAATGGAAGGCTTGAACATGGCTATCGACAAACAGAACTACGCTGGTTTCCACGCGAAATTCAAATCCGCCGTCGACAAACTCGACGGACAGTTCCTCGACATCTGCCGTGCCAGAAAGAGCCTATTCAAGTGGGACCCGGAGACTCTGGACGATCGCCGTTGCGATATCCACCCTCAACTTTATCGTAGCGAGGAGCTGATTGTTTGGGATGTCAACGAACCAAACCTGACTCCGTTGACGTACGAGCAGCACCGGTGGATATCTTCGGATCAAGGAGATGATGCTATAGGTTCCCAGAGTGGTGATGGATGGGATCACAGCCGATGCTCGGCTGGATTTAATGCCGACGATGACTTCGACCAGTACGGAGCCACAGATGAGGATGGTGCTCAATCAGAGGAAGGGGGATCTTATCTTAGCAGCGATTAGAAAATTAGTTCTGGTGTCGTTGAAGGAGAAGCTGTTGCAAAAGATCAGGCATTAGGATAGCGATGAGGATATTGATAGAGCGTTTGCGTCACTCTCCTTCCTTATTGAGAAAGAGAGGTGAAGTCATCAGGGTCCGAGTCAGTAAGTAGGCGGTACACATTGTCTAATGCGCGGCCATCTTTGATCCAAGATTTTAATTTCAATCATTACAAAGCTCAGCAGAACTTACCTCCGTCAGAGTTCCAATTTTTGCCTCTTGCGATCAGGATGGCATGGCATGACCCTAACCCTCGGTTCTCGCCCACGACCATCGATGGCGAAACAAATCCGTTAAAATACCGGTACCCAACGCGCAGAGAGTATGGGGATACGATTTTTTGCCTGCACGAGGTGCCCCTTACGAACCTTCAGCTCTCTTTCCTGCGGCAGAGAGAGTTTGAAGAGCCGAAATTGAATCAGGGTAGCTTTTCAAAAAGATTCCTCCCTACCGGCGATCCGAACGAGGCTTTTCTTACCTCGATCACCATACCGATTACGATTTATACCTGACGGGCATGTCGACTGGAAATACTAAGAGGATTTGCTATAGAAAGGGAATGAGATAAGAGAAATGAAAGGTGGTTTAAGACGATTTGCGATATTGCGCCTTCGAAAAGGCTACTTGGCTAACTGCGGTCCGGCCTCGGATTATCTCGATAATCGATGCCGATATACGTTACCTACGCTATAACACTCTCTTTAAGTTTTTCCTCCGACGAAGATATGTTTTTTTCTTTTTTTGCGATCCATCTTATCCGTAAAGAAAGGGCATAATCGACAGCAGCTGCGCTGTACCAACTTAGAACACTTTCAAAGCTTATAAGGGTCATGCGTTATCGCGGGGTCAGAGATCCGAAGCTATTTGACAAACAGCTTTTCCTAAACGTGGTTTTTACTTTCGATTGGATGGTACATTACATATAATCTCTCTATTTAGCACGTCGCCGTACCCCATAAGATGTCCTCCCAATGCGGCATGCAAAGCTTGCCACCCACCCGACGTTAATAAATGCAACAATAACAACAACAGCGCCCAGAGAATAAATACATGAATTCCAATAATGAATTTTGGGTTCAAATGGATTGATAGCCAACAGCGCGCATGCCTATAAGCATATCAAGGCGCATAAGGGCTCCGGCTGTCTCGCAGAAACTACCGACCAAGATTGCCAAGATCAAAAACAAGCGCAGCCGAGTGCCAATTCCTGGGTAAACCTCTAAGGACAGCTAGCAAGAAATTGATGGATATCTTGACGGGTCCGTGTTCACGTGACTAGTTAACACATACATACTCCGGTACTGTATTGTGATACATACAAGAATCGTCGGCTCGCTTAGATTGGCCTCCTTACACTATACAGCCCTCTCGACCCAACGGTGGTCGTCATAAAGGCTTGTCGTTTACTGCTTAACATGAGTTGCTCTGCAGGGTATGAAACTGAGTAGCATGCTCTCGTTACCCGATATAGTAGTATCTTGTAACGCTTACGTATCTTGCTTTGCGACGGGAAGACCTCTGAGCTTTCTAAAGTTATTTTCGCTTCTCGGCGTTTGAACCATCTTCTCTCTTTCAAAAACACAACCCGCCCGCTTTGTTTCTTTCGATTAGAAATATCAAGAGATTCGTCCGTATACGCTCTTGCCATAGCCTGTTTGTTATCTATTCATCCGCGCATCTCGATACGTAGCTAATGTCAAAAAGTAGGGAATGTGCGGTCTAGGCACATCGTAGTAAAAATCAAAGCTCCACCTCTTCGCGTTTCCAATCTAAATCGAAACACTCAAGGGCCGCACAGTTCCATCCCGGGGCGAATGTCCATATCCCAACCTCTTCCTCTCGGCAGCGCAGGGGAAAATGGCCGAATCACACTGACCCCCTGACTCTTGCCGATAGATGATTATACGGGTCCGAACCAATTTGGGAATTCCGTTTTGCCGTCTCGAGACAACCGAGACAACAGCACCACTCTCGCCCGGCGCGTATTTGAGCATTTAATATTTATATTTAAGGTCTACTCCACAACAATCTATAGAAAACAAAGCCTAACATATTTGGCAGGACATCCGCTCCTGGACCCCTCACCGAAACAAATCAGAGTAATGAGATTGGCTACTGGAGAGCTGGGAAGATGATCAGTGGTCACGATGTGGCACACTTTTGCAGACAGGCATCTCAGGAGGCTGTGTAGTCAGTCATAATTTGGCTTCTGGGTCTACATAAGGTCTGTCTCCTTGCACTCTTCTTATGGATTCTTCCTGATCGTGAGATTTCGCTCTTCACTCTTCGCTTCACTTATCCTCTTTTTAGCCTTGACGGCAGAGCTCGGCTAGTCCTTGCCTTCACATTCTTTCACTGTTCTGTTGAAAAGCAGAGGATCAAGTCAATTCTAGACCAAATAAACACATTCCTTGAAACTTTATATAGGAGGAGACCACAATAAAAAATGCGTTTCTCTCTTCCTCTTGTGGCGTTCGCCGCTGGAGCGGCTGCTCAGCAGACCTCTGCAAAAGTAGATTCCAACACTGGTATCACATTCCAAGGGAAGACCGATGCTACTGGTTACTACTTCGGTATGGCAGTACCGACTACTATCGGTACAGATTTCATCGGACAAATAGTAAGCATGACATCTCCCGAGATAGATCGAGCCATGGCTGACGCTCCCCTAGATCGCGCCTATTACCGAAGGTTATGCTGGTGTCTCTCTTACTGGGAAGATGGTGGGCAGTCTCCTGATCGTAGCATGGCCCAACGCAGGCGAGGTTGTTGCCTCTTTCCATGAAACATCGTAAGCTCTGAAGACTATCCGAAAGATGCGTCTCGCTAACACTTATCAAGCGGATACTCGTCCCCGCCTGTATACACAAATGCATCGCTCTCTTTGTCACCAATCGCCGACGGAACCTATGTCAACGCCACGCACATGTCTTACACCTTCTTGTGCGGTGGATGCATTATGGATAGCCCCCTTAGCTTCGACCGTACGGCCGACAACATTATCATGGGATGGGCTCTGTGCAGAACCGCCCCTACCAATCCCGCATCCGCTGAATCGGCGACTTTTGTCTACCATGATGCCGGATTTGGTGCCTTTGGTATGGCTTTGAACAACGCTGCAAGTGCGGACTACGCAACCTGGGCTGCCATGGCCGCTAGTGGTGCACCTACGGAATATGGCAATACAGCGCCTCCTGCGGGTTCAGACACTCTTGCGACTCCTGATAGTGCCAACGCCACATGCCCTGATACTCCATCCATCTCAGATTCTACCTACGACTACATTGTTGCTGGAGCTGGGCCGGCCGGCATCATTACCGCTCAACGCCTGGCTGAGACCGGAAAGTCTGTTCTCCTTATCGAGCGTGGGAAAGCTTCGACCTACCAATCCGGAGGACGTAGCACGGTCGCGTGGAACGATACGGTGACTCAATACGATGTCCCAGCTATGGCATACTACTTAACCACTGCCGCGGACAGTTCCGAGTATTGCACCGATACCGCTAACATGGCAGGCTGTTTACTTGGTGGTGGAACGATGGTTAACGCCTTGATGTTCGTTCGACCTCAACCTGCCGACTTTAACGATAAGTGGCCTGCTGAATGGCAGTGGGACTCAGTCAGCGCCAGCGCCGACAGGTTGTATGAGCGCAACCCCGGTACTACCATGGCATCCGAGGACGAGAAGCGGTACGATCAAGCAGCTGCTACTGTTATGCAACAATACTTAAGCGGCATGGGATACGAACCCGTCGATGCCATCGACTCCCCAGAGCGCAAGACCGCAATCTACAGCTACCCACCATGGGATATCCAAGGAGGTCGCCGAGCTGGACCGGTCAAGTCTTACCTCCCTCTCGCTAAGGCTCTTAGCAACTTCGAGTTGATTCTCGAGACGAAAGTCGTTCGTGTTGTTCGTAACGGATCTACTGCGACGGGTGTCGAGGTCGAAGACTCTACTGGAGCCCGCCAAATCATCAACCTGAATGAAGGAGGAAGCGTTATACTCTCTTCCGGATCTATGTCTTCCCCACGTATTCTCTACAACTCTGGCATCGGTCCGGCTGATCAGCTCACCACCGTCCAAGGCGGATCTGCCTGTGTGACTCTCCCAGAGGAAGCTGACTGGATCGACCTCCCAGTCGGACAGAACTTGAAGGATCACCCGATGTTCACTCTGGACTTCAACACTAGTGCTGTCGAAGACACCCTGATTGCCAAGGACTTCACTTCCCCATCCCAAACCAATATCGAGCTGTTCGCTCAAGAGGTCGGTCCACTTGTCCAGGGCGGCCAACGTCTCAATTTCTGGACCAGCAAGAACACCACGTCAGGCACCAAGTACTTCCAAGGTACCTCCTTCGCGAACAGGGCCGACGGCGTCAGGGTAAGGCTTTACATGACCCACGGCGCAACCTCTGTCGGGGCTCTGGGCATCAACGCCCAGGGAGCGACCATCTTCACGACCGACCCCTGGATGAACACCGAAGACGACCAAAGCGCCATGGCGGAGATGATCGACGAACTCCTCGCCGGTGCCCGCGCGGGCACCCTCTTGACGCCAGCCGACCCCGACGTTACCGGCGCCTCCTTGGTCGCGGACAAGGCGTACGTCACGGGATCTCACTTCGTCGGCACCGCCATGATGGGCGAGACGAACGACGGATCGTCAGTCGTCGACACCTGTGGAAGGGTCTGGGGAACGGACAACATCTACGTCGTCGATGCCTCGATCCACCCCGACCTTCCCACCGGCAACACCCAGGCCATGGTCATGGTCGTCGCCGAGCACATCGTGGCCAAGATCATCGATGTCAGCTCGGGCGGCGGGGGTCAGAATTCCACAACTCCCTTTGTCCCTGATTCGAATCCCAGCTACCCTCCCGTGGTACCCGAGTCGGACCCCTACTATCATACCACTCCCGATCTACTTGACACGGAGCCCAAGAATCCCGACGCGGTGAATACGAACCTCAGCAAGCCCCAGACTCCCGAATCTGATAAGAAGGGCAACAAGCCCCAAACTCCCGAATCTGATAAGAAAGGCAACAAGCCCCAAACTCCCGAATCCGATAAGAAAGGCGACAAGCCCAAGACCCCCGAATCCGACAAGAAAGGCAACAAGCCCAAGACCCCCGAATCCGACAAGAAAGGCAAGAAGACCAAAACTCCCGAATCCGATAAGAAAAGCAACAAGCTCAAAACCTCCACCCTACCTGATAAGAAATACAGCAACACAGAGAGCCTCACCGACCTCACCGAGAAGAAATACACTAACCCCACCAAACCCACCAAGGAAGAAGAAGAAGAAGAAGACTGTTAAGAGAAACCAACGGTATTTTACTTTCGTGTCGATCTTTAGGTACATGGGCTATATATCTGAATCGAGGCGGAAAAAACCCCCCCTTTGTACATAGGTATATATATATATATATATGTTTTTTTTTCCTTCTCAATTGTTGTGTGTTCGTATATGCCGTGATTCAAGTATATCCAGTCTCGTCTGAAGGCTCCGCGTGCCTTTTTGTTCTCACCGTTCGC